GTTGCTATTTGGAGAAAGATGTTGCTTACAAGCAGTAACAAGTAGATTTAGCTAATAAACTGGCCTCTGAATGTGTATACAAATAAAATTGGCTAGTTTTGAGCTGCATGAAATATCAATGTTCTTATCTGATTGTACTCTAGCTGGATTTTCTGTGTATAATGATCAACGTGAGAATGCATGGAAGGTGTGATCAGGCTCAGGGTAAATTTATCTGTGTTCTACCAGCCTCTAAGGGTGTCACAGTGACATTCACACGTGGTCTTGGGTTCCTTCGCTGCAGATGACAAATGCGTGCAGGAATGCGAGGAAGGTTTCTATGCCGATGAGGAGAGTCAGGAATGTGAAGCCTGCCATGAGGATTGCGAAACGTGTCTCGGGCCCAACTACGATGACTGCAACTCCTGTGACGACGGCACGCAGCTGTTGAGCGGCGAATGCGTCGCCGAAAGCCAGCTGTGCAATGACAACAGCTTTGTGAACAGTGCGTTCATCTGCCGTGGCCTACGCACCTAACAACGCCCAGTATTCCTGTGCTAGCACGTTCACCTCCCTGATGCCTGTTTCTCAGCCGTGCCCTCCCCTCTCTGATGCCTCCTCATGCTCCCTGTGAGCACCCCTACCCCCTCCTCACCGTGCTGCTTTCACTTGCAGGCAATGAAGAATGTGAACTGTGTCACTCCAGCTGCAAGACGTGCTCAGGTCCAGGGAAAAATAACTGTGATAGCTGTGAGAAAGGTATGCTGATTATTATTTTTTTTTTAAATTAATGGGTGTGGATGTTTCCTGTGTTGCGGCTCTAATATTTGTTGTTTGCTTATACACTATATGACCAAAAGTATGTGGACACCATCTTGCCCACTATATCATTCTGAAACCAAGGGTGCTATTTCAAGCTGGTCCACCTTTTGTAGCTGTCGTTGCCTTTGTTCTTCTGGGACCGTTTTCCATTATATGTTGGGACATTGTGTGGGATTTACTGCCATTCAAGTTGGGAATTGATGTTGGATGATCAGGTCCTTTCCTGTCAGCTTGTGTGGCCAACCATTTAGGCTACTTGCTCCCAGACATTTCCATTTCAGAGTTGCTTTGCTAGGAGTTGATCAGAGTAGCAAATTGCTGAACTGACTTGTTGGAAAGATGGCCTCCTGTGATGGGCCCAAGTAGAACATCACTAACCTCTCCTGTACAGCCACCCATTCTTTTGGCCATATTTGTTGCTGCACATAACATAGCTGTGTGCTTAATTATACACGTCTTTCAGCAATGGGTCTTACTGAATTAGCCAATTCCTATTCCTACACACTTCTAGCCATATAATGTATATTAATGTATAATGTTGAGATATGTATAGATGCATGCGTATATATGTGTGTGTGTCAACATTAATTCTGTATGAATTTACATTAAAGCATTCACAGGAAGATCATAACTTCCTTGCCTTCAGTTTGATTTAACCCTTTGTGTTTCAACCATCAAAAGTTTAGCTTGGTGTGGCTTCAAGGTGATTAACATCCCACTGAACTTTCAAAGCATGGAATTATCTTAATATATAGATTTCTGACAGCCAGGGAAAAAAAATTCTGTAAATTAATGGACGAAAGAACAGAAAAAGTTCACAGCTGGTTCTCTGAATCCCACCTGTCCACCATCAGATCCTTGACTCTGCATCTGTGAGCAGATCCTTTCCTTCCAGTGTCCACATTTCCCACATTCCTGTTTCTGTTCCCCTCTTCCTGATTGTGTTCCTCTTTCCCCCCCTGTTTAAGGTCAGGGTGTTTCTGTTCTGCGTGTTACTGACTGTTCCACCTTATACCTGCAGGACGGTACCTGACTTCCCGACGGTACTGTATGGAGAAATGTCCCGATACCAGTTTCGCAAACAAAACTACGGGGTGGTGTGATGACTGTCTCCAGGGGTGTTTGCACTGTCGGGACAGCACCCAGTGCCTGAAGTGTCTCTCAGTTGCCAAGAACCGCCTGTACCTGAAAGATGGCCGCTGTGTCCACTTCTGTCCCAGGTTCCTGTTTTCATATCTCATTCTCAGAGAAAAACGTCCCTTTGCAAGTAGAAAATGGCTGCATTATCAAAGTCTTCAAACATTTTGATGTGCTTTCTTTTCACAAATGATTGATATGGGTAATTCTCTATTCCATATACAACTCTGGAAAAAATTGACACCACTTGATATTTTTAAACAAATCTGCATTTTTAAATCCTGGTTTAATCCTGGTTCTGCTGGCAGAAGGCTACTCTGTGCAGCAGGTTGCTTCCAGATTCACTATTTCTAAGACATCAGTACACAAGCACAAGGTGAAACAAGAGACAATGGGAATGATCAGAAACCAGCCAGGCAAAGGGTGGAAGTGACTTCGTAATGCCAGAAATGATCATTAACTTATCTGGCAGTTTGTTATGAATCAGACGATGACATCAAGTGACCTTTAAAAGGAATGGGAAACATTAAGTGCAGGTGTGACGTTGCTAGGACAGTTTGTATCAGGGTCCTAGAAGCAGGACTAAAGTTCCATAAAGCAAAGAAGAAGCTCTTCAGTAATGAGAAGCAGAGAAGAACCAGGCTGCAGTTTGCTAATATATATATATATATATATATATATATTATTCACAGACTCACACCCATAAACTGGGAAATGAGTGAAAGAAAAATGTTGCTGTGGTCTCTGAATTTTTCCCCAGAGCTGTATATATAATATGGGGCTTCAGTAATGGATCTGGTGTTTTGGATTAAATGAATGTGGATGATCAGACAAGAGCAGGCATACTTAGAAGGGTATGGCCATAAGGAGGAGGTTTCAGGCTCCTGATCAGGGTAAGTGCTGGAAGGATGGATGAGAGGGTTGTGAATGACCATACAGGCATTATGCTTCACTGCATATTCTCAGTTTGCTCATCGATCTGGTCCCTCCTCTCAAATAATCTTGAGTGGTCTGGGCCCTCATCCCAAGTGGACTTGAATGATTTTGGCCCTCCTCCTCCTGATTGATCTGGACATCCCCCTGTCTGCAGGGGGTTTCCTGATGGCGACGTATGCAAGAGCTGTGCCCCGCAATGTGCTTCCTGTGAGGGCAACGCCACCTACTGCCAGACCTGCGTGGAGCCCTATGTGCTGCATGATCACGAGTGCCGGGAGGGCTGCCCGCCAGCGCACTTCTCCAAGGCGGGGGAGTGCCAGCAGTGCCCGTACGCCTGCCAGGACTGCACTGAGCTCGGCTTGTGCAGAGGTGACAGCCCCATCCCAATTACACGAGTCCTCTCCACAGTCCCGCTCTGTAGCTTGCTGATTAATCTAATGGGCCATCTGTAGACTCCCTCCAAGTTGGGCGTGTCCCCTTGCTGAGCATCAAAGATGTGGATTAGCGCTTCAGCATCAATTGCAGTGGAGTGTTTTTGATACTCTGTGATTAGTTATAAATAGGACTCTTAAGGTGGGCTGGTCTATCACTGGGTAGCAATAATGCCTCAGCCCTTTAGGGTTGGGTGTTTGGAGGTTTGCATCTCCCGGTGTTCTGTGGGTTTCTTCCCCCAATCCATAGACATGCAGTTGGGTCTTGAATTTGTTTGGTGTCTTAAATGGACTAGCATCCCATCCAGGATCGCATTGTGTTCTGTGTTGCCTGCGACAGGCTCCAGATCCAGGATGAACATCCAGATTAAAGTATCCTTTCATCTGTTTTTTCTGTATGTAAAAACCAGTGCAAAAAAAGTCCAGGCAAAGAGGTGCATTGTGGGAACGGGGGTGGGGGATTTTGAGGTAGGGTAGACATATCACTATGGGGTCATGTGATATTAATAGGCCTACAAAAGGAAGGGTGAACTTCCTCTGAGTAAACAGCCTGCTTTGCATCTCTATCGCTCTCACAGAGTGTGAAACATACTACTTCCTGCACAATGGTGGCTGCGTGGATGACTGCCCATCTGGGTTTTACCCGGACATTGAGCAGCAGGACTGCGTTCCATGTCACGCTGACTGTGCGTCATGTGACGGGCCAGACGTGGACGACTGCAATGCGTGCCTGGACCCGAGTGCCGTGCGCTACAAGGGGAAGTGTTTACCTGAGTGTCCTACCAGCACGTTCCATGACATGGACATCGATGAGTGCAGGGGTATGGCTGCATTTCCCGCACCTCACAGACATTTTGTTCTGGAGGAGAGTGTAATACCTTATGGTCTCCATGGAGATAGAACTCTCATCGCCCATGTGCTCCGCCCTTTTCCGCAGATTGTGACGAGTCCTGTCTCACTTGCTCTGGCCCCCAAGCCTTCGCCTGCAGAAGTTGCCGGTCTGACATGAGATTGGACAACCACGGCCACTGTGTCTTTTCCACTGAATGTCCCTTGCGCACTTACATGGACCAGGAGGGTAGATGCCTGCAATGCCACGCCATCTGCCAGCAATGTCTGGGGCCTGGCAAGTCCCAGTGCCTCAGCTGCAATGAGGGCCACTTTCTGCTCAGTGAGTGCTAACCCATCGTAAGAGGCATCTTACAGGCCAGACAATAGGAGACACGTAAGGTGCTTTCATTTTGAAGTTCAGGAACCTAGTTCCTGGTTCCGAGTTCACAGCCAGGAACTGTTATAGCTTCTGGCCATTCGTGTCTCACTTTCCGACTGCACAACAGTGACCTTTATGCTAAATAGGCATGGAAGATGCAAAATGCTTGTAGATTAAATTTCACATGTAATTTCACACAAAGCTACACCACCACCCCAAAACTATGGAGGATGAACAAGTTGTTTTGTTAATCATAAGAGGAATCAATCACGTAGTCCAAAAATACAGGACAAATTGTGTCCCATATTGATAATTTATTTATACTAATCTTTTGATTAGTGAATAATTGTCATTGTTGACACACCACAGCGAAATGTGTCCTCTGCATTTAACCCATATGTGACCATGTGACATAGCAGGGGGCAGCTAATTCAGCACCCGGGGAGCAGTGCTTGGGGGCGGTATCTTGCTCAGGGTACCTCAGTGGTGCCTTGCTGGTCGGGGATTCAAACCTGCAGTCTTTCAATTACAAGCGTGGATCCCTAACCATTAAGCCAATTAAATTCACTAAATTCACTAATTCATTAGGGTGTGGTTGTTCCTCTGCCCTCCGCAGACCGCACGTGTGTGGAGCAGTGTCCAGCTGGCTTCTACGAGGACATGGAGCAGCGACTGTGCGAGCGCTGTCACCAGAGCTGCGCTTCATGCCGGGGCAAGCACAGCATGGACTGCGTGAGCTGCAAGCCACACTTCTTCCGCATGGGCAGGGCATGCATGGAGAGCTGCAGCCCCAGGTACAGCCATCAGACAGGGCGGCGTTTCTGCACAGGACCCCACCCAGCTCACACCATAACCTGCTCTATCGTGGAGTCCGGTGGCTCCCAGCCGAAGCCACTTACAGTTTGACAGGATTTCTGCTGTTGTGTCACATTCCAACCAAATCAATATATGAAGCATAATATGGAGTAGTGTTTAAAGTTAGTTATTTCAGAGATCGTACCTTTGTATCCCACTGTTTAAACACTTTGGTCAATACGTAGTATTTCTGCTTGTTTGTTTAACAGACACTTTTGTCCAAAGTGATGTAGAAGTGAGGATCAAAGAGCAGGGTCAGTGTAACTTGAGCAGATGGGGTTAAGGGCCTTGCTCAAGGGACTAACAGTGATGTGATTACTCTACCAACCACGGGACCCATGATCTTCCTGTAGTACGAATTCTGAAGCACAAAACCACACACTGTTCATGTTTAGCCAAGCCAACATGCTGATGACATCCAAAGCAATGCAGGTGTAAAAAATGATGGGGAGAAAAGTCACCATCCAATATCACCATTCTGAGGAAACAGACCACCTGCTTTTCTACCTGCAGTTACTATGCCAACATGTCTTCCATGATGTGCATAAGATGTGATCCCAGCTGCGACGAGTGCGACGGTTCGGGAAACGCCCACTGCCGCAGCTGCAGGAAAGGATTCTTTCTCATGAAGAATCAAGGACGATGTCACCCATCCTGTCCCAGCGGCTTCTATGAGGACAACGCAAAGAATACCTGTGAGAGATGTCATGCCACCTGTAAGAGCTGCAGAGGTACGAGAGCTGGCAGGGAAACCAGAGAGAGTGAATTCATACAGTTTCGTCAGACTCCTTTAAGCTCCTTTACATAACATAAAGTGAGGGTCTGTATTACAAAGGTCAGAATGTATATGATCATTTTCATTTGCCCTGAATCAAGCCCTTTTCTGGCAACTCTGAATAAGCTAATTGCTTATTGTATCTGGTATTCAATCAACCTAGGAACATGCTATGCTATGCTATGCTATGCTATGCTCATACCATTCATATCCACATATATTAACTAATCGTGTCCTCATCTTATAATGTTTGGTCATTTTGTTTAAATATTAATAAATTCTGATGTTTTAGGTTATTGTCACACAGTTTTGTTTCTTTGGCACTAACAAAATAATGATAATAAAGAAATCAAATCACTGTTCTGCCGCACAAACTTGACTGGGTTAAATGTTTTCAGTGTTTGAATGCATTGCACTAAGTATGTTTTTACATTCTCAGATCAAAGACCTCTGTCTTGTGAGTCCTGCTACTTCGGCTATTTGCTTGCTGGAGGAATATGCCAGTCCCAGTGCATGTTGGGAGAATATGCCATTTCCATGGTAACTAATCCTTGTTACACGACACACTCCTAATCTGTACACCGTAAATAGACTGAATCAGCTTCACTTGTTTGTTGACAAAACCATTTTGCAGTAATGATAACTGACCACTAGGGGAGCTTCCATTCTCTTTTCCTGTCTTCTCCTGTAGGCTATGTCAAATGGTTTGCAGCTCTCTTGTGATTCTTTTCAAACTTATGAAACCTTAAGTTCTTACCGCAGCATGGCCTGTGTCCGACATCGGTGTGATCTTCCCACCAGAGCCCCAGTCTCTCTTGTGAGCCGTGCGATGGCTCCTGCATAGCGTGCAAAGGACCCAGCATCTACAACTGCACTGCTTGTCCTGTCTTTGAAATCCTGTCTGATGACGGCCGTTGCCTTACCTGCTGCAAGGAAGTCCAAGAGGGTTCCCCGCTGCCGTGGGAGTGCTGCAACTGCACTGCATCCAAAGGTGAGCAGCTTCTCCCCAGCCCGCTCACCTCCCTTCCTGTAACTGCACTGTATCCCAAGGTGAGCAGCTCTTCCCCAGCCAGCTCACCTCCCTTCCTGTAACTGCACTGTATCCGAAGGTGAGCAGCTCCTCCCCAGTCTGCTCACCTCCTTTCCTGTAACTGTACTATATCCGAAGGTGAGCAGCTCCTCCCCAGCCCGCTCACCTCCCTTCCTGTAACTGCACTGTTTCCCAAGTTGAGCAGCTCCTCCCCAGCCTGCTCACCTCCTTTCCTGTAACTGCACTGTATCCGAAGGTGAGCAGCTCCTCCCCAGTCTGCTCACCTCCCTCCCTGTAACTGCACTGTATCCCAATGTGAGCAGCTCCTCCTCCGCCCACTCACCTCCTTTCCTGTAACTGCACTGTATCCGAAGGTGAGCAGCTCCTCCCCAGTCTGCTCACCTCCCTCCCTGTAACTGCACTGTATCCCAAGGTGAGCAGCTCCTCCCCAGCCCACTCACCTCCCTTCCTGTAACTGCACTGTATCCCAAGGTGAGCGGCTCCTCCCCAGTCAACTCACCTCCCTTCCTGTAATACCCCCATCACCTCACAGTTTCTATACACTCAGCAAAATGAACACCTTAACCATAAGCAACCAAATAAAATAAAAAAATTTTTTTTTGATTGGTCATTATCACAGGTTATCATCACACAATGTGGACATTTGGTCCCCACAATATAATATATACATTAGCCTCCCCCCCTACACACACACACATACAGCAGAGGCAGGATTTCACCGTGCCCCCTTCCTTGCTGTCTCCTTGTAGATGAGTGCGTTATGAGCGTGAACTTTGAGTTCCGCGACGACGAGGACTACGAAGGGAAGCCGGCCCTCTTTGCCACCACCTCTGTCCTGCTCATCGTTGGCATTGGAGTCGGCGTCTATCTTTTCCTGAAGTCGCGCTCTAAGGAGGCTCCCAAGCCCAAGCCTGGGGGCTACGAGAAACTGAACAACAGCGGCACCGGGCCCTACAGCAAACCCATGACCTCTTACGAACCCAGCCGCTCGGAACAGCTGGTGGAGTTCAATGACCGTGCTGAGGAGGAAGATGATGATGACGATGAGGACATTGTGTACATGGGCCAGGATGGGACAGTCTACCGCAAGTTTAAATACGGGGCTCTAGACGATGATGAAGAGGACGAACTTGAATATGATGATGAGAGCTATTCATTCCGATAGTTATACAGATGGAATCATTTTTACCCTTGTAGTTAGCTCATCCTCATTAAAGCACTCCTGATTGTCTCCCACCCCGTATTTAAAGGTGATGACATAGTCTATTCCAGTTTCCCAACCCAGTCCACGTTTTTGCTTCCTCTCAGCTCCCAGCGCACCTGTACCAGGTATTCAGTGTTCCTGATTGTCTGGGAGCTGGGAGGGAGCAAAAATGTGGATTGTCCAGGGTTCCCCAAGGACTGGGTTGGGAAACACTAGTCTACTCTTATTGCCTGTCTCCCCCTTTTATTGATTTCTTTTTGACCCATGAAAATCCATTGACTAATTTACATTTACACCCAGAATACAATTACTGTCAGTTTAAATCCTTTTAATTTAGACGTGATACAATCAAAAAAGGATTCCTCACCCTCCATGCCACCTTAAGACAGGAGTTTACGTTTTCCACGCGTGACTTATTTTTCCATTTAGGATGAACGGAACAATACGAACCAAGAATAAAAATATTTAATTAGGTTGAGGGATGAATTCTTACATTTGCTTCTTGCACTATTCTGTAGAAGTGATGGCGTTTACAGGCTGGATTTTGTCTATGTTGATTTGTTTGATCAGTGTTGTTTATTGATGTGAAAGTTATTTGTTGTAAATGTTTCAAGAAATTAAACCAGTACGTTGAATTTTACGGGCGTTCCTGTTAATATAAGGATATTTATTTCCTAGTTATGTAATTTTTTTTTGTACTCTCTGTGGTACTCTCTGTGGTACTCTCTGTGGTACTCTCTGTGGTACTTTGCACGGCTGCTGAGTGCTGACATAGTGCAGTGTTTCCCAACCCGGTCCTCAGGGACCAACAGCAGTCCATGTTTTTGCTTGAGCTGGCAGGCAGGGGGGGCATTATCTGGCAGGGAGCAAAAACATGGACTAACTGTGGGTTCCCAAGGACCGGATTGGGAAACACTGACATGGAGGTTAGACAGAAATGAAAACCAATAACAGTTAACATGCAGTTCTTTATCAGCTTAGAAATAGTTTTTTTTAAATACATTTTTAAAATAGTACCTGTTGCTACGTTACAGTACTGTTCCTTAAAATGCTGTCATATTTTATGTTGAATGTTAAACCTTTTAAAACTACATTTGACAGCAATTAATACAAAACCATTTATACATCTTAGCTCAATCTATCCTAAGACTATCCCCATCTCACAGGAGTAATCTCTGTCCATCCATCCACATACACATTGCTGGTAGAGATGGCAGGAGAAAACCACAGCAGCTAGAAGTACAAGTCCAGACCAAGATTTTGTTTCAACCGGCCAGTTGAGTATAAAGAGTCACATTCAAAGTGTACTGAACTGAATGGTTGAAACAAACACTTGGTCTAGATTTGTATTTTATGTACCTGAACTTTTCATGTCTGCTGGGCAGGACATGTAATTGTAGATTATGAAGGAGGGTGGATGTTCTGTCCAAGTGATTTCTTCCCATGGTGCACTACAAAAGCTGTGCAGTCCAGAAAGTATTCCAGGTCATAGCAACAACATATAGAGTGTGGCTCCTATAAACCCCAGAGGAGCCTAGAGCCTGAACCAGGAAGTACAGCACACGAGGTGGGGCATGCACAGGACGGGACGCCAGGAAGTGCAGCACACGAGGTGGGGCATGCACAGGACGGGACGCCAGGAAGTGCAGCACACGAGGTGGGGCATGCACAGGATGTGTTACCAGTCCATCACAGAGCACGCAGTCATGTGCACAGGAAATTGCCACATGCAATTATAGATGCCAATCTATGTAGGGCATGTTTTTGGACTTTAAAAAAAGCCCCATTTTCTGCTTATATGGTTATGTTGTCATAACGATCCATATACAGGCAGTCCCCAGGGAACCATTTAAGTAAGATTATTAAGGTACCCAGGTAACATCCATTCCCTAAGTCTGTCTTTTGAGTCAGAGCAGATAGATATGGTGCTAATTTAGCAACAGTTTGTCAAGTGTTTGTCCTAGTAAGTATTTTACATTTCTATGCACTAATATCCTAAACCTAATACAGTATAAAATAGTACAGTAATAACAATAACTGTACTGCACCTCACGCCTACTGTAATTGTCTTTTTAAAAAGCGTGAACGTATACTCAGACTGACACTAACACATACATTGTGTGCACAATGTTCATTTAGCAAAAGCGGCATAATAAAAATGGTTAACTACATAGGCACACTAGTGCGGACTCGAAGGTCAACCGCTGAAGCAGCACAGTTTTCCAGGAGCATAACTACGTACCGCGTGCGTCCGTAATTATGAAGCATCGCATTTATCTCATTTTTAATATAATAGGCTTTGTGGCAGTCCGTTCATAAGTATGAGTTGACTAAGTTGGACATTCTTAACCTGGGGATATCCCTGTATTCTCTTTCCTTACCAATGTTCAAAAAGTTAAAATGTAACATTTCTATGCCTTTCAAGAGGGCAAAATTAATTGCCTCCAAACAATTATTTAAGATTTGTGTATCATATTTCTACGCAAAATGTGTTCAGGATTATGACTTACATAATGGTTTGTGATAACCCTTTTTAAAAGGTGCCTACAGTTTCAGCATTGTCCACCCCACAGGTGTCAGACTCCAGTCCTGGGGGGGCCAGAGCCCTGCACATTTTTGGGTTTCCCCTCGTTAAACACACCTGATTCAACTTCTTCTGCTAATTACCACATAGCTGTTGAGCTGAATCATTTGTGGTGGAACAGGGAAAGAACTGAGCTGCGGCCCCCCAGGACTGCAGTTTGACACCCCTGGTCTACCCAATCAAAGGAAAAAAATAAACAAGAAGTGACAATGATGTTTTCCTTTTTGTGACCAAAGAAGGATCTAAAAGAAAACATCTGAAGGAATTAGCAAGTCAGACATAAAAGACGAGCAACTACACTAATTGCAGGTGCATTCATTAAATGTTTTATTTTTAGTAGACAATTTCTTTACACAGCTGAGTACAGTACTTTTGCTTGAGGAACAATTTTGTATGTAATGTCATAGCAGTTACAGACAAATTCCAGATAACAGTGTCTGATTTGCACGACAGACCTAAGATGTGGAAGCAGAGCCTGACTAAAGTGTAGCTACTACATAGCCTGAACAGCAACAACTGCCCTCTGTCACCTCTGCATGTTACATATATAAGCCAAGAAGAATATGCTAAAATGTACTTTCTGTTCAAGTTGCCTCTAGATTATCTAAAAATAAAAGGCTGTTCCCTTAATTCAGGCTAGGGGGTCTGTTAGCTGGAGAGGAAATTTGAAAAACTCGCATGCCAATTTTCATGCTGTGTTTCAAGGTCCTCCTGCCACATTGCACAATTCAATATGAGTTAATCTTTTACATTTCGATATCTCATCTTCTCAAAGTATGATAACCTCAAAACTGACAGATTTTCATATAGTTATGCCCTGATACAGAATTTAAAGTAAAATCTAGTTAATCCAGATCATATATTATACATATGATTCAAACCGTGAGCCATTCATTCCCACTATCTGTTGCACACTTCTGCACAGTAGAATTACAGATATTTCTTCAAAGCAAATAAATAAAAACGTACACATCCCACGATAAAATGGGAATAAAATGGAAATATAAAAAAACTTGAGTCCTGCCCTCTTCTTCCATTCTGCTCTTTGTAAACACCCCCTCCGTGAGCAAAGGTCTCCTGTCTTCTCTTACAGTCGATTGTGTGCGTTTCTACTCTCAGGGGAAGTGATGAGTCTGCATGAAAGCTATTTCTGACTTTTCAGAGCACTGGACTTTTTGAGCTTTCCCATTGAGAAGAAAAATCTATTCGGAGTTAAAATGCAGCGGAAGAGCAGGGATGTTTCTCTGCTGGAGCTAATCTGCATTCGACCACCATGTGACAGAAAGACCAGTGTCAAAAGCAGGCTATTGAAAAAATAGCAGGGATTTAGAATTGGGAATTGAAACATGTGCACGGTGGCACATAGGTAGATACTGGCCAACAAGCCAAAGGCAAATATTTCCCAGTACTTCCAGCACTTAACCAGCCCCACAGACAAAGCAGTCCTAGGACTCTGAGCATGACGCCGACCCCCTCACTCCTGACATCAGGCTGGGGTACAGGGGGTGTCATTTTGATCCTGAGGTCTTCACCTTATCGGTCCTGGACAAGCCCGCGGCAGTCATTGCGCTGAGTACAGCGGCAGGTTACAACGAATGCTCAGGAGGAATGGGGTGGCCTTTCACCTACAGTACTGGGGTGGTACAGTAAAGGGTGAGAAGATTATCGTACCATGACGACATACATAAGAGTAACGAGACAGGCCAAGGAACAAAGAGGTCTGGATGCACTCACAGTGGCTTCTGATATTGCAGTGTGAACCAGCCATGAATGACAAGTAAAACAGGTCAAAAATGCTTGTAGTCAATCGTTTTACCCAGAAAGGCTAAGAGCAGGAGGCAGACAAACAAAGGGGTGACGACTGCGTCATGCTCCACGGTCCCTTGGCCTCCTGTCAGTGGCCGTTGACGACGGGGTTGGCGCATTCCCTGAAGAAGTTGTCCTGCTTTAACTTCTGGTGATCTGGCAGGTCCAGCCTCCGCTCAGCCTCCTCAATGTCACTTTTGATTGCTGCTATCAGTGCATCTGGGAAGCAGAGGGATGAGGAAGCGTTTTCAAAGCTGACAGCACAAGCAAAGGTAAGAGGCACCAACCCTTTTTCGAGATATGGCTGAGTGGCAGCATGATTAAATGACGCAACATCTACAAGGGAGTCCCTGAGGTCAGGTCTGTTGACCGGCTGTGTTTTCTTAATACTAGTTCAGAAATGAGAGTTACACAAGGGAATGATTAGGACCACTACTGCAGACAAAACAAGGGAAATGTTTCGTTACGAAGGGCAGCCGAAACTATTCACTCAGATCAGCAATAGAGTGTAACGTTATCGTAATTCCATCACTTTAATTTAAACGTGGCTCTCTGAGACAGACTCACACCAAAGGCACAGCAGTATTTTAGCCATGAAAGTGCTGCTCTGCAAGCGATTAAGGCACAAGATTTCGTTTATTGTTAAATATCTAAACCAGTTGGGCCAGCAGGGTGTAAATAATGTAATGCAGTATGATGCAGGGCTACCACACACCCAGCAAATACATAAAAACCCCAAGCTAGAGACCCACCACACACGGAAAAGCATTGTTTTGTTTCTACGGAACATGGCACTTATTTTCTCTTAAAATATCACCCAGACAACTTACGCTACAAAACACAAGCCACACACGCTAAACCCAGTTGCCTTACTTCTGATTTTAAGAGTGAGAACTGACACCACATCACAAGTTTTTTCTCCTTACCAAGGGATTGATAATTCTTCTCTGGACGAATGTAGCCAACCAAAACAACGCTCAGGGTGGCTCCATAGAAATCCTCCTTAAATTTGTGAATCACATGTGTTTCCTTCAAAACAAACAAGCATGGAGACAACAGTGACATAAGATTGAAAGTAAAAATAGTGTATAAACATTGAGATGTGAATATGAACAGATATTCAACAAATATCAGTATGTCCACTGGCAACTCTCAAAGCTTACTATTGATATATACTAATTAAACTTTATTTGCATTGATATTGGGCACAAACTCAAACATAAATTAGACAATCAAATTAGTATTATTTCTAAATTTGAAACACGAGGTGAAAAGTGCCATAACACTGAAGCCTTAGCAAGCGGTTAATCTTACTGAGTGTTATCTGACCCAGTCTGGTCAAATATCTTTTCCCCCCACCCCATTGGATTAATAAGGAAGCAATAAGCTATAAGTGAAGGGAAAATTGCCTGATGACTAAAGATGGCTTCCACATGTCCAATGCTGTGTCCCTTGTTACTGTGAGCCAAAAAAAAAAACCAACACGATTTAAAAGTCTGGGAAAGAAATGTCATGCATGAATAATACTACTTTAAAAACTGACGAGAGATCAAAAAAGTTGTCAAAAGCAAATTAAATTGCTTTCAGCCTGCAAGCCACAACAGCTGAAACATGCTGCACATTAACCCAGATGGTCCATATTGTGTGTCAGCTGAGGAATAACACTATTTTTTGTAACATTATCATATGATACAAAGTACTATAAAGTACAGTTATAATTTTACTAGCACGATGTAATATTGTTTGTTTTTTTTCTGTGTGGACTTAAAGTCCAACAAATTAAGGAAATTTTGAAAGTTCTATGTAAACAGTGAAATGTGGGGGTTGGGGAGCTTTTCTAGGCAGTTTGTATCAGGATTTAATGTGTAGAAATCAGGTGATCAGATAAGCCTCTCAGCAGTGAAAAGGACACATTCAACTTGTCTTTTTGACCATCACTGACTTAAACTGCACTTTCCAAACAGAAGCTGAGGTTTGATCTGAGCAGCTCTGCTCTTCCTTCGGTTGACTTTTTTGAACGTATTACGCCAAACCTTGAGATGACACACCTCAAGATGAACAGCTCATGGCATTAAACTTGATTGTCTTTGTTCAAATTGAATGCATGTACTTCATATGCAGTAAACGGTTAAAATCTTCCGAAACTAATTTCCATGTTGTTTCAAGAGTTAACTGTCACAGACAGGATCCTTTGCGTTTGTCAGTTTTTGACCAAGTTTCATTAAATCATCAAACAATGATTGTAACTCATCAAGTAGGCTAATGAGCACACCTACATGCCACAATAGGTGTAGCCAAAACCAAAGGTGATTTCTCCTTCAACTGCATTTATCAACATTCCATAGTAAAAAGAACACACCTTTTAATGTAAACACCTGCTCTATATAATGTCATTTCATTTGACCTTAAAGACCTGGATAAGCATTCAAAGGACTATTAGATAAGACTGACACCATTCAGACAGATAGATGTCACTTAGACACTTGACTTGAGTGACTAGATGGGAAAAGGTAAAACAGTATAAAAGTGCCAGTCATCACTTATCCAGTAAAAATGCAGAATAAGAACATAAGAAAATAAGAAGTTTACAAACGAGAGGAGGCCATTCGGCCCATCAAGCTCGTTTGGGGAGAACTTAACTAATAGCTCAGAGTTGTTAAAATCTTATCTAGCTCTGATTTAAAGGAACCCAGGGTTTTAGCTTCCGCTACACTAGCAGGAAGACTATTCCATACTCTAACTACACACTATGTAAAGAAGTGCTTCCTCAAATTTGTTTTAAAATGTTCTCCCGCTAATTTCCACCTATGGCCACGAGTTCTTGTATTTGAACTAATGCTGAAGTAACTATTCGGTTGAACAGCATCCAAACCTGTTAGAATCTTATACACCTGGATCATGTCCCCCCTTAGTCTTCTTTGCTCAAGGCTAAACAGATTCAGCTCAGCTAACCTCTCCTCATAAGACATTCCTCTAAGACCAGGAATCATTCTCGTAGCCTTCCGTTGCACCTTTTCTAAGGCAGCAATGTCCTTCTTAAGGTATGGTGACCAAACCTGCACACAATATTCTAGGTGGGGTCTTACCAAGGAATTATATAAATGTAACATCACCTCCCTTGACTTAAACTCCACACACCTAGAGATATAACCCAACATTCCATTGGCCTTTTTTATTTCTTCCCCGCACTGGTGAGAATGATAAACAGATATAAATGATTTCTCATGCATTGAATCGTTCCTTCAATAATCGCAAATCAAATTTCCGATGATTTACTCCTGATTGAACAGTGATCCGTCATTAAATGTGAGCATTTCAGCCTGGCAAAGGACTAACCAATGCTTGACTGCTCTCCTGTTTAGGTTTGATGAGCCCAAAATTCCACCCAAAGCTTGTTCATATGTTCAATAGGCCAAAACATTATCATTAGAAATAAAATAGCCTGTACCATATCTGGCCCCCCCCCCCCCGTTTCCACCATGACCACCATGAAACCTGCTGCTTTATCTTTTTTTAAGAATAATAAATACCTAACGATATTGATCTTAAGGACAAATTAATTAGCTAAAATCAGTCTGACAACTGAATCCCGATCGTTTATGTTTCAAAAAGACAGTTTAAATGTGTAAGTTATTTACAACCTCACAGTTATAGGGGTTTTCATACATAAAGGATACAGGCCAGAAGGTAAGGAAAAAACACTTCAAATTAGTCTTGCCCAACTGCTATAAGAAAAATGTAATTATATTACAGCTATTTCTATATTGCTTAAATGAATGCATATTTTCCCAATTTCCAGTCCCTTATTGATTCTCTGTGTCTGTACATGCATGTATATAATTAACTACATAAAAGGGTGATTTACCATTTCACCCAGAAAGCAGATGGGTGGGTGTGGGTGTGTGTGTGATTATTATTGATGTCCTGGTGTATAAGAGGTTTCAGGCTGTGTGTTGGACTATCCAGTTACCATGGATTTTTTGGTGTTCTTGAAGTAAGGGTTCCAGCCAATGCTCATGACCATCTTATGCACATCCCCATTCCCGAGGCTGGCCCAGCCATAGTAGATACCAGTGCTGATGTCTGCTGGGAGATGTTCCACCACAGAAGCAGGGAAATTTGCTGTGGGGTAGGACAGAGACAAACTGTCAATCACACAGTTGCGAAGACGGCTTGGGGACTCACATTAATGGGACCACAGCGTGCAGCCTGTGGGAATACCAAAGTGGATCATAACGAGCAGTCACCTTTCCCAGTCCTACTATTACAGTCAATACATGTATGCACAGATGCACTTTAACTTGTTACACTGTTACATCGCACATTTTTTATTTGAAGTTTTCATTTGTACAGTCTAGTTATGATTTTATATATCTTTAAAAGTCTTTACTGTGTACAGAGACTATTTCTGTGACTAGCATAAATACCGCATAAATTTTATATAAATTTATAAGTAAATTTTACACAAGTTATTTTGCAATGATCAATGTATAACAAAAGAACAAAAACCTGTATTACACAACTGACCTGAAAAAGCCAAAAATATCGCAGCAATTTTCTGTTTTTAGGAAAAGCTCGAGTACTGCCAACAGGACTGGGTTCATGATCAATCTTAAATCCAGGTGTTGACCATTTCCAGTTCTTATTACGACTACGCTGCCCTTAAAAATACATGTAGGCCTATCGTTTACAGTAAGTTTTATGTCGAAGGTCAGACATGTTAATTTTAAACACATTTAATATTGCTGTAAAACAGTGGCGGTAAGATATGAATGCGATGTGCTCGGCTTCTGGGATCCAAGCTTGGTGGCGGAGCAGCCCCGATATCGGATCCATAAATTTAAAATCCAAGCAATCTAGGCAATTGCTCCAATCAACCAGCCAGCCATCTAGAGAAATTTCTAGCTGAACTCATTGGCCAGTAAAACACGGGTTAGTCAAATCGCCGCTTACCTGTGGGTATTCCCAGCTCCTTGCTCCCTCGTCCAAACCCTCGAACAACTTCCCCACGACAGAAATATGGGAGACTCCTCATCATATTCACCTTCTGGGACTTCACTCAAAAGTCGATCTCTAACCACTAACCTCACATACACCTATTGCTTGACATCTACTTCCGGTTGCGCTACTACAGAGTTCAACTTACAAGAATAGCATGTTCTCTGTTCCTACAGCGCCGTATAGTGATGAGGAAGTAAACTGCACACTAATTCTATTCAAATAGGTGAACCTCCAAGAAATCTGATTTGGTGGGGAAGGGGGTTTCATTAAGCAGACGATCCGTAGACACGCCCTTGGGAGAGACAGGGCTTAATTGTTTTAAGACGAACGGCTCTATTAAAAAATTAAATTAAATTAAATTAAATTAAATTAAATTAAATTAAACATGGTGTCTTTGGAGGGTGGCCTTCAGAGGGAGGGGGCACAATGGTTCAATGGGGTGGGGGGTTCATGGCCACGAATTCTCCGCTTGATGCCAACTCTGACTTTGACACAGGTTGCTATGTCATTTATTTAATAACTGTGTGCTGTATATACTCACTGGCCACTTTATTAGGTACACCTTGCTAGTACTGGGTTGAACCCCCTTCACCTTCAGAACTGCCTTAATTCTTTGTAGCATAGATTCAACAAGGTGCTTGAAACATTTCTCAGAGACTTTGGCCCATGTTGACATGATAGCATCATGCAGTTGTTGCAGATATCTCAGCTGTACCTTCATGATGCAAATCTCCAGTTCCACCACATTTCACAAGTGCTCTATTGGGTTGAGATCTGGTGATTGTGGAGGACATTTGAGTATAGTGAACTCTTTGCAATGTTTGAGATACCAATCTGAGATGATATGCGCTTTGTGACATGGTGCATTATCCTGCTGGGAGTAGTCAATAGAAGTTGGGTACACTTTGGTTATAAAGCGATGTACATGGTCCCCAGTATTACTTAAGTAGGATGTGGCAATTAGACGAATCTCGTTTGGTACTAAGGGGCACAAAGTGTGCCAAGAAAATATCCACCATACCATTGCACCAGCAGCCTGAATTGTTGATACAATGGCAGGATGGATCCAGGCTTTGATGCTGTTTACGCCAAATTATGACCCTACTATCTGAATGTCGCAGCAGAAATTGACACTCATGTGGTAGCGCTGTGAGAGATGTGTACGCAAACACATATTTTGGTTGATTCTGTTGTAAATTTCATTTATGTATTTTTTTCCAAGAAAGGACAATTAGAGACAAGGAAGGATTTACAACAGTGAACACTGAATGTAGACATTAAAGTGATGTTAACCACTTACCTCTCTCCAATTTTTTTATTTCAAGCTTCGGTTTTTTTATTTTCAGTTGTGTATATTCAAGGTGTGCTTTTCGGACTTCTATTTCCTGGATCAAATACCTCTTGTAAATAGCACGGATATCTGTCTCATTAGAAGGAACAAATAAGAATTATTCATTCATTCTTATTAATTACATTAAACAGTTTATTACTTACCTTCTTCCTTTGACGGTCTTTGAGTACATGTGGGCTGTGCTGATGAGGGCTGAGAACATTGCCCACCTGGTTCTTCAAACTCCTGTACACAGCAAATACTGCATGGGTTTATAAGAAAGAGACAAAAGTTATTCGCTGCAAAATAGTTTCAAGTTCATACGGCTAGCATTTCTGAGCAAACAAAAATTGTTTCCTCATCCTTCTGTGTCGTGGATGGCCCTGCGATCTGCAACAATGGAATGTTTGTTGGTTATATTTATTTACCATGACCACAATGCAATCAAATTCAATTTTTATTTGTCACATACAAAGTATGACATGCAGTGGCCTGCTTATTGCTGTACAATGACCATAAGTATTAACAGTAGAACTAAGAAGTAAAACTATTTCCATTAGAAGCGGGACTTAACTTAGAAGAATTAACTTAAGTGAACAAAAACCCACAATACATGACAGAATTAGCAGCAGATGAAGGCATTGGACTGATAAACATTACATATAAAACCCACAGTTATTGCAGTGTATTAAAGTATATGATTAAATACAATACTCACAACAGATTCTAATAACTGTGGTTCGGGATCCAAGAGGGTCAAGACACCATCCACTACTGTAATGCATTAGAATATATGTTTAAGACATTTAACAGAAAGCAAGGCAGAAAGGGGGAAACAGTAAAGACCTACCGTACCTTTAACATAAGATTGCACATGACTGGAAGGAACAACGTCTGAGGATGTTCCTGCCTCAATCCCCTCAATAATAGGCTGTGCACGGTTCTGTGCAAGGGCCATCACCTCGGGCTGGGGTACAGGCTGCTGTAGGTGGGCCATCACCTCGGGCTGCGGTACAGGCTGCTGTAGGTGGGCCA